GACCAGACCATCCAGCACCAAGGCGACCATTCTTTAAAGCATTGAGAACCCCTAACAGTAAACTGTTTGGGGAAAAAAGCATCATGGATTAGGTTCGAAACTGTCATGCACCGACAGGACTGGATGACAGCCATTGAGATCCCACCTGACGAGCAGTTGCTCGCCCAGCTGGGCAACTGTGTCCCGGAGCAAGGCACTTGGCCAAGCAGCATGGAGAAACAGCTGAGGAAATGCTCTATACGATGTGAAATGTGAATTGCAAGCCAACAAATGGATGCCATGGAGTTGCGACGTCAGCTGGACGAGGTGATTCAGCAGCTATCTCAAGCCGACTTGGAACATCGAAGATTGCAGGCAGTTGCAAAGGAGAAGGAAAAGGAAAAGGAGAAAGAGAAGAGCTCCAAGAATGTCAGCTTCTCTGAAGAGTTCAGAGCAGCGCCAACGAAGAGGACATCGCAGCTGAGAAGAAGGCTCGGCAACCCAAGGCAGAGGAGTCAACGACTGCTAAGAGCAAGCCACCACTTCTCCCAAGCAAACCCAAGGCAGGTCGGAATGTTCCAATTATCCCAGCTTCCAGCGTCCGAGGTTCAGTCGCCAAGAGCGTGCCGAGGCTGTCGAGGTGGAAGGATTCCTTCTTGAGGTGGTTGGGAGCTCGATCAGCCGTGCAACTGTCCCAAAGTCCAAGGCCGCGAAGAAGATCCATCGTGAAGTCAAGAAGAAGAAGCGAGCCACGGCGGAGAAGAGGTCTTCATCTGGGAAGCGAACTACACCAGTGAAGAAGATGCCCAGGAAGCCTGTCAAGACAGAAGAGACTGCGGCAGTTGAAGCGCCAGACCCGCAGTCCACATGGAAGAAGCGCCGTGGGACAAAGGCGAAGGCACGTCCATCGAAGAGGCAGCGAACTGAAGAGAAAGGAGAAGATCCTTTGCCAGTCCGACCAGCGGTGACGCTTTTGCCGCGTCTTCGCCAGACGTATGAAGCTCCTACAGAGGACGAAGTCAAACCGTCCGATTCGGTGAGCCAGATCGGAGAAGGTTCCTACGTCGCCGAGGGGTTCAATCGTGAAGAGCGAGATCAAGAGCGAGGTCCATGAGGCAAAGACGATGGGGCCACCGCCGAAGCCACCGCAGCCGGTACGCCGATCGGTGCCAGGGAGGGACAGATTGTTGCGCCCGCATCAATCGCTCTGTTCCCTCCTCCTCCTCCACCAGCTTCAGCTCCGGAGACCCCAGCGGATCCAAAGGCATCAACTGGACGAGCAGAAGCCAAAGCAACTACGATCCAGCCGGTGTTGCCAGCTATACAACACCTGCGATGCCATCTGTGCCAATGGCAGCCAGCCATGGGCAGCAAACGTGTTTGGCGTGCTTGGGGTGGGAATGGTGACACCAACAACGAACGACCGTTATCTGGTGTTCCTATCGAGCCTGCGCAACCGTCCAGGCACGTGTCAATCTACGCAGCCTTCAACGTCTTCAGCAGCAGTTTCATACACACATGGTCGAAACATGGTCTTTGTCGAATTGTGTTGTGGTCGAAACTTATGTCTGAGGCAGGCTTGTATGGAGGTTGGAGTCTCATATATAGGATGTCACGATTGTCTTCAGGGAAAGGCAGTTCAGAGAGAGATCATTAAACTTATCTCATCTGTTTGTCAGGGGCGCAAGATGCCAGAAGCCCGCCATCGATCTGAGCGCGGAACCAAGATTCATGTTCATGTTTCTCTACCGTGTACTGGAGGAAGTCCGATTTTGAACTTTCATCAACAGTCTAGAGTAGAAGTCTTTGAGGAAATAGCTAACTCAGTCGATTGTCTTTTGAAGAAGGTGGATGAGGCCTTAGGTCAGGTATCCAAGAGTCTGGAACTTCAGTACTGGAAGTCAGAGGTCTTGAGGAAGGTCTTGTCGAACCAGCGTCTAGAGTTTGAAGGCATCGTGAACAGATGTTTACCAAGAGTCAACAACCAGTCGGAGAGAGGTTCAGGTTTATGTCGAACCGGAAAGAAGTTGCAAATAGGTTAGCGGAAAGATTCAAGTGCATTGTCGAGCACGCAGCTTGCAACAATGTCAATTGGACAGAGACAGAACGATACACCCGTGTATTCGCTCGATGCTTCGTTCGGTTGCTGAGGAGTCAGGCCGTGTGCAATGCATGAGCGGAGGTTGCCGGATGAGAGCATAGCGCCACGAAGGGGGTGTCTTCTCTCCTTTTGCAGCACCGCTTCTTCGATCAAGTCGAGAGGACGTCGCGAAAAGAGAGAGTGTCTTTTGTCTTAGTCTTCGAAGTTTTCTTCTGAGAAGAGCGTTGAATGTCGAAGGTCAGAGGAATAAGATAGATTTTGATGAGTCTGAGGTTTTCGAGGTCGGTCGAATGTCTCTTGAAGAGAAGATCGGAATCGGAGATCGGAAGGTCTTATTGGCAAAGCCATGGAGGTCTAGAGATTCAGGAAGAATGCAATTTCTATTCTATTCTGTTTTGTGTGTGGTTCAAGCTCCCTGTGCTTGCTGTGCTAGCTGACTGCTTGTATCCGCAGCTATTTGGGCGCGCGTTCGCGTTTCGTCGCCGTTCATGGAAGCAGCCGTGATTTCTGCTTATGTGGCTGGGCGAGAGTTTGAGATTCTATGTATTCTCATTTTCGCGCGTGGCATGTTCGTTGGAGGAATACTGACGAAGCTTTGTTGTCGCTCAGTGCAGGTGATTGTTGATTCGAGCGTTGAGGTGGACGATCTGGTGCCACCAGTGTTCGCAGACTGGCTTGATATGCACGATTCATACTACCGAACTGAGAAAGGAACAGTGTTGCATCTTACACCTTTCTGCAGCTATGCCAAAGGCCGTGCCTTGTCGCGCCTTCATTTCTGCAAGAAGTGTTTGAAGACGAGGCATGAGAAGAGCCCCAAGCCGCAGAATGATGTTGACACTTGACCTCGAAAGGGGGTGTGAAAGTGTATAGCCGAGCTACACTTGTAGCGAGGTCAGTTTACAACCAAAGGGTTGCAGGACAACTGTTTTGAGAACAGTAGAGTTCATGTCTGAGTGCCTTGTAAAGCTTTAGCTGTGAGGGCTTTGCATTTGGAATGCTTGAGCAAGCGTTCGGTACCAGAACTTTGTATTTGGAAGTGTTTTGAGCAAGAGCTTTTGGTAGATTTTGTAGTTTGAGAGTTTTGTCAGCGTGTTTGAATGCTTTAAGCTCGATACCTCCGGTATCTCGCATGGAAATCGCTTGTTACAGGAATGTCCCCTCATAGCTGCTTTCGAACTTTACTTTGGCTCAAGGCCCTGAGTGCGCGTAAAAGGTGCGAGAGTGCTTTCGCTGTGCTTGTGAGTTGTTGCGCGTGCTTTTGCTTTGTGTTTAGGACGTTTGTAATCTACTTACTTAAGGTAGTAGGTTTTTCAGGGAAACAGGTCCGTATGACTTGACAGCAGCCTAGACACACTGCAGACACAACTACAATGTCCTAGGCGAAGACCTTAGTCCTTGTCCTGGAAGAGAGTGAGATGCAAATGATGCTGCCTGGCAAAATATACTCCTGTAGGCTTAGCTGTTTATGGAGTATGTCTCTGCTGTGCTGCGGCACCTCCCTCTTGTTAGAGGGAGGGTATGTGCTGCAACTGTTCGTTAAACAAAGACTCGCCACTACCAGTCACCCTACCATGCATTAAACGCAGGCCACAGTGGAAGCTCCATTCACTTTCGCTTGTCACGTTAGAGTTTCGTGCTTCGCTTTTCGCGTCCAGTACAGATGTGCATAATGTTGGGTACTCGTGCACTCAACTAGCAGCTTGCCTATATGGTAGCCCACAACTGTTACATCACTACTTGTGAGCTTTGATTGATACCTAGAGCACTTCCAATAAGTGCGCGCGGCACAGGCCTGTCATCACAGGCCCTCTGCCCATCTCTTCGAGACTGCAAACTACCATGAAAAGCCGTTTGAAGCTCTTGCCTGATTTCGTTGCCCAACCGCAAAGAAGTGGTGACTTTGTTTCACCAACGTCTCACCTTGCATGTGCAAAGTTGAATCACCCTTCGTGATTTTTCGTGTGGTTTTTGTGTGGCGGTTTTGTTTGGTTTTTGTTCTGCTTGTGTTGTGTTGCTGCTTTTGTTTCCCCTTCCAGGAGATTCAATAAAACTTAGCAAAAGATGACCTGTGCATTCTGCACACATGGCGTCTCCATCGGTGTAAAAAACAGTAGACATGACTCCTGCAGGCGTCATGTCTTAATCTTTGCCGGTGGGTTGGTTGGCAACTGTTTGTGCTTTTCACTTCTCACTTCTCAATTCTGACTTGTTCACCTCTCAAAACGAACCGACTGTAGAGCTGGAATTGCAGCGCCAGCTGGCGCGCTCCCGGACATCCGGACGGTGCGAAGGTGAATCCGGCGGGCCCAAAGTCCAAACCTACATCCCTTTCAAAAACTGGTGCCCGCAGGTTGGCATCAGGGGCCAACTTGAAACCCTCCCCCCCTGTGACCTTCTTTAAGGGGCCATACTGGCCATACTTCAGCACCTTCGTGTAGGTTGCGCCACAGATGTGTTGAGATCGGTTGACATGGCCTAGCTATACACCTGATTTCGTTTGCTTCCTACGGACTTGCTAGGTGAAAAGATGCACAGAACCCTAAAGGTTCTCCTCATACCTTGAAGAGTGTCACTTTATTGGTGGCCTGTGCCTGCAAAGGTTTGTTTCGGGCAGCTTGTTGTATTATGAGACCCTTCATGGCCCGCTGTGTTCCTTTTCGCAAGATGAGTGTGGGGGACCTAGCGCGATGGTCTACGGGCTATGTGTTGGACAACATTTTGTTTCCAGTTGACACGCTGGTTTGGACACGTTGCGCTGGAAGAAGAATTGATGAGGAAACACGACAAAAAATTATGGAACCAAAGCCCCGCACACAACTCTTAAAGGGAATCCCAACAATTTACATAGACCTTGGTTTATGGGTACCTTGGGTGGACCTACTCATGTCGTCTCTGCAGCTGATTCCACTGGCGGCCGATGCCAAAGCCAAGGCGAGGTGGTTTTCATATCATTTGTTTGGGCGTCAACTTCCACATTTGGTTTTTTTTAGAGCCGGTCAGGATTTCTGCTCGACATTCCGTCATGTTGATGGTCCAATTCGTTCAGTGTTGGTTTGGGCCGGATGATTGTTGTTTGGACAAGGCGTTCTTATCCGGGTCGAAGTAGGAAATGGGACGTGACGATTTCCAGGTGCTCTTTTTGCACAGGAGTTGCGTGCCCTGGTAATTTGCACTAGCCAAAAATGCGATCCTTTCAAGCAATTTGAGACGCATCGGATCGCAAACCATGTATGGTCCACGGTGTTCTGTATTGAGCCCTGGAAATGGACCCTTTGTTTTCCCAGCCCTGGTTGCTTCGTGGTTGGCGAGGTTTAGTGCTCTTGGTGTGGTGGTTGGAAAAAGCTTCCATTTTGGGTTTGCCCCATTACTTGCAACAGTCGGTAAACAACTAGCGCAATTTTTTGAAGAAAGGCCTTTACAAACGATCATCATCTACTGTTACTGGCAATAGATGATAGACCCAACTTCCATCAATCAAGTGCTCAATCGCTCTAGTGCTTTGTTGCTCTAGATCTGTAGATGAGCCAGTATTGCGTGGGAGATGGTTGCAACCTCCTACGGCCGCATGCGGCCGGAATCGTGCGCAACATTCATTTTGAGCTTTTGGGGGCATCAATTGATAGACATTCATCCCTGGAATGGTTCAGCATAGTTCAGCCTGTTGCCATCCCTTTGACATTGTCTCTCCTGCGGTGGAGCCGAGCCTGGTGTGCGACAGCGTCAGGTCCCACATGCCAAGAGATTTGATGGTCACAACAAAGTTCGGATGGCCCAGGGACGCTCAAAACAGTTTCCGACTGCAGATTCCTCTATGTTGAGATGAAAAGATACGAAGTACAGAGGAAGTACACGGGATCCCTTCCCTGGTGTTGATGTTAACAGCAGGTTAGGTGGTTATCCTTTGCATCACATAGCGAACTGCTTGAGCTGAAAGAATGTTGGAAAAACGATCTATATAAGTCAACACTGCAAGCTGTGGAGAACGACCTGCTAACGCTTTTTCTTAGCTTGATCCCCACTACCTGCGCTCGGCTCCCTGTGATGCGGCTCCACCTTTGGCCGACCGCGCCAGGGGAGTTGGCAGGCTACATCAAAGATGGCCAGAACAGCTTGCCCGCGGAGAGGCTGTGCTCTTGCGACCCGAGAAGAAAGCAAAATTGAAGAACTGCCGTTGTCTGTTGCGGGGGATTCCAAAACGGTCGAAGACAGGCCGCGGCCAAGCACCGGATTAGGTTGAACCAGGTGTCGACTGTGATGAATGGAACTGAAGACAGATACCACAGAGAACTTGATGGAAATTGTATAAGACTTGTTGACTCGTTTAAGGTTTTCTGTGTGTGAAGGAAGGGCAGTTGGCTCTTGCTCCCAACTTGAGAAGCGCAGAAGGCCCCTCGGCGAGGTCCCTTAGCTGCCTATGACGGTCAAAGAGTGTGGGAGGTCCCTTTTTCGCAAACCTGTTCCGGCCGCGTTCGAGCAGGACGGGTTTTTCTCCGCTTGACATTGCTGACGGTATGTGCTATCAGTGCTGTTCTTAGCTGTGTTGGGATTCCTTGTCAATGCCAGAGAAGCAGATTAACTCTTCAGCAAGCAGAGAACCCCTCTTTGAACACATCGATTGCTCAGAAGAAATGGACACAAATGGCAACCATCAAGCCGATCCAACTGCTTTGGATCAAGGTTTCACTTTTCAGTCTAAAACCGTTTTTTCACTTCTCAGAGTCTTTTTCCTTTTTGTATTGGCAAAAGGCATGGGCATTTGTGCTCGGCAGGTGATCCTGGTGTGCTTTCTTCAAAATGTTGACGAGCAGTGATTTCCATTCTGCACATGCACATGGCAGTAGCTTCCTGTGTGTTTCTCCACTCTTTCTCTCCCCTCTTTTGCAGTGGCTTCCACAAGCTTATCATGCTTGAAACTCTGCAGGCTTGTGTGGCCTGCATCACAAAAGGCCAGGGCGGAGTGAGAGAAGAAGGGGAGGAAGCATTCTCCTAACCCCTTTGTGTACTAGCCTGTAATTGTCAGGCCAAGCAGTCCTGGAGAAAGGGGCTTCAGAGGATAAGTTGGATGAGTGGATTTCTTGGTTTGAATTTGGAGAAGCCCGCGGTTTCGCATTTGATCGGAGTTCGCACATGGAGCAGGACTCGCACATTGTGCAATCGGTTTAAGACTCTAGCATGTCCATTGGTTTTCAACCTACAGTCTTCAATCACTACGAACAACTGTAGTGATGCTGTATCAGGCACCATCACCAGCTACCTTGGCCACAGAGGACACAGCGAGGCAGCGAGGCAGCGCTGGGCTTTTGGTGCATCCAGATAGTTTTCTATAGAGGTAGACACATGTAAAGTATGAATACAGAATACAAGTACCTTGTAACAATGAGAGAATCTTCGGGGCCAATTCAGCAAATCTTCCCTGTGCAGAACGGCGGTTCTGCCCTGTGCTCAAAAGACAGGATATGGCGAGAGCCCCAAACAGTATGGTATATACAAAGATTCAAGATGACCTTTGCGTGCAAGGTTTGGACGTCAAATTGCAGATGCAGGTTTGACTTTGATTAGATTGTGCTTGACCTCCTTTGCGTTGCAAGTCTCCCTGGGTCCCTGAGATGCTCTAGAGCTGAGACAACTTGTTGCTTGGCAGTCCGTTTACTGGTCTTATCACAGACCGCGCTCATCACTAGACACCAGCAGAGACATCACCTGCATTTCACGAAAGGTAGCCCTTTAGGGGATACCTTGAGTTTGTCTTGCGCAGCAAGTGTCGGCTCGTCCGGGTCTAATAATTGATCGCTCAATTCAACACCCCCCCCCCTTGAACTGTAGAGCCTACTTGTACAGGTTCCACTCCAGTGGCCTATCTAGTGTGTCCATGCTTGACTGCCATAAGGCTCAAGAGGATAAGACTCTGCGCATAAAAGACACTAGCGGTCTGCACCTCAACCGTGTACGCCCTAGTCACTCTTTCAGTGGTAGCGGAGCAGTGATCCTGGAAGACCCAGGTGAGCTCCTTTCCTAGGCATAGACTTGCTTTTAGGCAAACGGCCATGGATTGGATTGACGACTGGGAAGAGCCTGATGCGGATGTGGCTTATGAGCCAGCAGCCTATGTGAATAGGCATGTGAGAAGAGAACCAGCAGCAATAGCAATGACAACACAGGTCACTACAAAAGTGCCCCCATTTTATGATGGAAAGACTTCATGGTTTTCCTATGAGGATGCCATAGACGATTGGTGCGATATCACCGAGCTGGAGGATGAGAAGAGAGGTCCAGCATTAAGGAACAGATTAGAAGGAGAAGCAGCTGTATACAAACGTGTTCTAGACAGAGATGCATTGAAGGCGAATGATCCACCAGGAGCTGGAGTAGATTATTTCAAGCGAGTACTACGACCATATTTTGTGAAAGGATCAACCAATGTATTCCTGTATAGGTTTATGCAATTCGTGCGATTCAATCGAGGATCAGCTGACATGATGAAGTGGATGACAAGATTTCAGATTTTACTTCAAAGGCTTATGAGCAGTTGGATGGACATGTTGGAGCCAGTTACACAAGCACATCCTCAGGTACAAGCTCAGATGCAAGCTGATGCAGTGATAAATGGAGTAGCTCCAACGGCAGAAAGAATTCAGGAAATCATGCAGACTATCAATGGCAATTTGAGAACTTTTCATCAGAACGACTTTCCTTTGGGAGAAAATCTCATTGCCTTACTCATGCTGTCACTCGCAGATCTGTCTCAGGACCAGAGGAACACCTTGACTTCTTTGATGACTCATCGTGGTAGGGTCCTGCAGCAATACACCACAACAGAGTTAAGGACAGTTTTCATTGAGATGTTCTGCACGACAAAGACTTCAGTAGACAATCCTTTGATGCAACCGACAGGTGCTGGAGGTAGAAGATCATTTCTCGTGCTTGAAGAAGGAGAACTCGATGGTACTTATGGCTATTGGGCCGAAGACGAAGAAGATGGAGCAGAAGGATTTCTTGATGCCCTGGACGATGTCTTTTGGGTATATGATGAACAGAATTTCTCTTGGTTCCAGAGGAGATTCCAAGGAAGAAGAGCCAGAAAAGGCAAAGGAAAAGGAAGAAGGAAAGGAAAAGGCAAAGGAAGATCAGGCCGCAGATTCTTCAGACCTCGAGGAAAAGGAAAAGGAGGAAAGAGACGAGGCAAAGGCCATTATGCTGATGAGCAACCGTCAACTTATCCAGATGAGTATTATGAAGAGAATCCTTATGAGGACACTTGGGAGTCAAATCAAGTAGCATATGATGCCATTATTGCCGAAGATATGAATGACTATCTTCAAGGAGAACATGAAGATGCCAACGACTTTTGGCAACAGCTTGAAGAAGCATGGTTTTCCCACAAGGGAAAAGGAAAAGGCAAGAGAAAAGGCAAGAAAGGAAAAGGAAAAGATAAAGGAGATGGCAAACAAGATGCAAACTATGCAAATCAACAACAGCCACGCTCTTTGCCTGCACTTTCAAGATCTTCACAGGCATCAGGAAGTCACCAAGGTTTCTTTGCACATTGTGTGACAACAGCAGCTGAAGTCCATGACAGTGAGGTGAACTTGCTGTCAGGCATGATGACCTCATGTCAAGATGAAGCTGACTGTAAGGTCAACAATGGTGAGACGATCTTCGATGGCATGAGTGCCCCTGTGAGGTACTCTTTGTCAAAGGAGATGCTCGCAAGTGCTCCTGATGGCTTTGCGCTTATGAGCGCTGAGGAAGAGGTGAATGAGATGCAGGCTATTTCATTTTTGACTGAGAATCGCTTCCCGCCAACTATTGCAATCCTGGACATTGGATGCACTAGAGCTATGGGATCAAGGCGCGCAGTCGATTATTTTTGCAACTATGTCGACAGTCACCCAAATTGTGGCCTATGGTACTCTTTTGAGGCTACCAAGAGCAAGTTTTACTTTGCCAATTCTCAGAAGGCTTCTTGCTCTCAGAACCTGGTGATTTACATGTATGATCGCACATGGGCGATCCACAATACAGAGTTCGACATAGTGGAAGAAGGAGAAGTCCCTTTGTTTATGAGCTTGCCACAGATGAGAAACTTAGGCTTTGAACTCAGGCTGACACCTCAACATGCTTATCTGACATCGGTGCCTCTTGGTATCAAACATTTAGAGTTGAAGGTTGCAGCCAGTACTCATCTTGTTTTGGACTTCCAAGATATTGCATGGTATTTGTCTGACGTGCGTTTACAGACTCAGCGTGAGAAGAGTTTTTACTCTCACTTCACTCACTATGAATATGGCCATTTTTCTGTTGGTCACAATAGTGATGAAGATGAAGCTGAGCATGCATATCCTGTGGTTGACTACTGGGAAGTAGATGTTCACAAGAGAGAACTGATACGTCACCACAAGGATTACAGGAAGATTCTTTTCCGAGCAACTAAGTCCTGTCCTGTAGACACTGACTTGCTGGAAGACTTGCGACTGACAATCATCAAGAAAAAGGAAGGAGGAGAAGAAATCAAGAAGCTAGATGATTGGCGCAAGGCAAAATGGAAGGACCTACAAATTGGCTATGAATGGCGTGGTAGAACAATTTTTAAGTTCAAGCCAGATGCCAAAATTCCAGATCTAAAGATCAAGAAGGCTGGCATTGAGCACCGTGGCATTGGTGATCCCGATGCAGTGGTGCGCTCCTCCTCAGAGAAGGTTCCCACTGCAAAGGACAGGGAACCAGGCTTCTCTTCAGAGAAGGAAGGTGCACCATCCAGTGCCGCGGAAAAGCCTGTGCCGCCAAAGTTTCGTTATACACCCAAGGGTTTTGATCCATTTTGGAAGGGACACAAGTCGAAACCATCTGAGCCTCCAAATGATTTAAGGGGTGATGATCCTGAAGGGTATACTCCTTCAGAACCACCTGAGAGGCCAGAAGGTGAACTTGTAGAAATTCCTAAAGCATCAAAAGGACCATCAAGTGATAAACATGAACCACTTGAACCAGGTGATGGCGCTCTTGAGCCTAGGCGGATTTCAATCCCATTACCTGGTAGTGAAGTTGTTGCAATGACACCGGCATATAGGAAGATGTTGCAGAGACTGGAGGACCAGGTAGAGCTTTATAAGCTTCATGTGAAGCACTACCATATGAGTCCTACTCAGTTTCGTAGGCGTGTTTCTATGTTGAAGCTTCCTGACTCTGTTTTAGAGAAGTATGAATCAGTTGTCAGGAACTGCCGTGTTTGTAACACTTCAGTGGCACCTCCGCCACGAGCCAGAGTCTCCGGTATTAGAGCTTCATGTTTTGGTGATGTTGTTTTTGCTGATCACTGTGAGGTTGAACTTCACAAGAACAAGTATATCATTCTACTTGTTCTTGATGGTGCCACAAATCTTCTCTGGGCTACGGCACAGAAAGACCTCATAGATCAAACCACCATCCAAGCATTGAGGCAATGGTCTGATGAGAACAACTGTGTTCCGAAGGCCATCGTAGGAGACGAAGCCTTTTTCACAGATGCTTTTGTTGAATACTACAGGTTCCATGGTATACAACAATGTCTTTGTGGACCAAGAACTCCTTGGCCGAACCGAGCAGAGACAGCGGTACGTTTGTTCAAACGTATGTGGCGTGTGATGAAAGTAGATCTGGATGACCCACGTTTTCGTGGTGTTACGGTCAGAGAAGTGGTCAAGAAGGTAGTTTGGGCAAGAAATTGTCAGTTGACTATCAGCGGATATTCACCAATAGAGATAGCAACTGGAAGACGTCCACCAGATCTTTTTGACCTTGAGACCGCAAGCCCTGAGCAATTGTCAGCAAATGCAGCCGCACAAGATCGTACAAATCTGGAACTACAACGTGTGGCTTTGAGAGCTCATCAAGAAGCACGACAAGCTCAGGACCTTCGAGCAGATCTTGCAAGAAGGACTATGCCAAGTGACGGTCCCTATTTCCAAGGAGAGAAGGTTTTTATTTGGACTCAGGATTCATCAAAGTTCAAGGATAAAGGACGTTGGGTTCGTGCCACAGTACTTGGACAAGAAGGAGCGATGGTCCAAGCCAACACTGGTAAGGCAGTGGTACGTGTGAATCAGTCGAAGGTTAGACGTGATCACGATGAGTGGCATGATGTTTCCATACCAGCATTAGACGATGAGAATCCGGAGAACTTACGTGAAGATCACGAACTGTATGTTGATGCGGAATTTGGAGAACAGTCCTTTTTCTTTTGTAATGATGATCATCCTGATGTTGTTGAGTTACTTCATGGAAACAGTGGATTATCTTGGTTCCTTTCA